GCTGCTTCCATCTCCCAAGTTGCATTGAGAACCACGGCAGCTCACGAAACGCTAAGTGTTACCCACTGGTCCAGAGGTGAGGTCAGCTTGTCCGCGGTCCTGCTGCCCGGGCACCCACCTTGCTGGCCACACGGCCTGCGGGGACCTCAAACTGTCACCAGCCCCCAGGTTCTCAACAAGTGGGTCCCGACCCCTTTGGTGGTCCAAGGACCCTCTCACACGGGTCGCCTAAGACCATCCTGCATATCAGATATTTACATGATGATTCATCACAGTAGCAACATGACAGTGAGGAAGTAGCAACGAAAATAATTTTATGGTTGGGTCACAACATGAGGAGCTGTATTTAAAGGGCCAGAAGGTTGAGAACCACTGCCCTAGATGATGGCCTGCAGTCACCGCCCATGCCAGTCCCCGATATGACTTCCCAGCAGCCCTTGTGATCACAGGCTCCCCAGCCTCCCAGCACCTGTAAGCCGATGTGTCCCTTAGATAAGACCCCCCGGGGCTCACCCACGCCCCACTGCAGGTCACGTGGGCAGAGAGTGCATATAGACCATAGTGCTTTTTTTTTTTTTTTAAAGAAAACACAGATAACTTCACCTACAGAGATAAATTACTTCTAACTGCCAAACACCCGTGTTTGCTCAATTAAATGAAAATTATAAAGCTAAAAATGCTTTGGTTGTAATGCTTATGCACCATGATTACAGATGTACAAACTATGGCTATAACTGGATCAGAACAGAGAGTAACAAAGAGCCTCGATGATGGTAGAATAATAGGCTTACGTATAATTATTTTCTTTTCAAATATTAAATGGGGGGGGGACTATTTAACTATCAAACTTCAACAAGTAATCAAGAGAAAAAGGACTTACCTGATCTAGGCTTAAATTAGCCAAGACCAGAGCAGTGGGGGTCCCTTCTAATCCTGCCTGGACAAACACCTTCTTACAGTCCTCTTTGAATTCCATGTAGGAATAGTTCTGAGACACGGGCACGTGGTAGAGTTTGTGGTCCGTCAAGTAGCAGGCCAAGATTGTACAAGTCTCCTTTCCGCATCCGTCTATGCCAATCTTTGGAAGAAAAAAAAAAAAAATCCAAACACGTGATCCCTATGTGATGTCCTGGGAATCTTTCCCTGCATAGTTTTCTGTCTAGATGTGCTAGAAATTTAGACAATAAAAACACTGTAGACTAGTTTTAAGACTTTTTGGGGAGAGATACTATTGACAAGCTGAATGTGGGGAGGGAGTGAAAGGTGTCAAGGACAAGGGGTTCCCAGGTTTTGGGCTAGCGCAGTAGGTCTATGGTGGTGCCATTTATGTGGGGGGGGGGAAAGGCTAGGAAGGAATATTTTTGATGGTGAAATGATCTGCTTTTGCATTTTTGGCTTAATTCTATTTTCTAACTTTTTTGTTTTTTTTAATCCTCACCCGAGGATATTTTTTCCATTGGTTTTTAGGGAGAGTGGAGGAGATCGAGGGAGAGACAGAGAAACATCGACGTGAGAGAAACACATCGATTGGCTGCCTCCTGCACGAGCCCCGACCAGGCCCCGGGCTCAGAGAGGATCCTGCAGCCAAGGTACGTGCCTTTGACCGGAATCAAACCCGGGACCCTTTGGTCCACAGGCTGACGCTCTATCCACTGAGCCAAACCGGCCAGGGCCATTTTCTAACTCTTAATTCCTTGTAATTAGTCTTGTACATGTCTGTTTAAATAATAGATTTAAAAAAATAAAGTTCTAGTTTCTCTGAATGCCAAAGAAAAGTCCTTCGCGGAAAAAAATGGTGTGATTTAAATAACTAAAATAGCTATAAAATAAAGACATAAATAATAATAGTCATAAATCATGTGATTCGCATAATTGGCTAAATATGTTGGCTTTTCTTTAGCCTTCCGAATAAAATAATACCTCCATTCGAGTTATTGAGGGATTTTACAAGAATGTCTCTCCCCCTGGCTTCCATGAAAAGTAAAACTTTTCATTCAGAAGTGTGACTCATGCTTCTAAGTCCAAATTCAAGTACGTGTGCTGTGTTGAGGTAAGACCCACTTGCACAGAGAGTACATTAGTGCCGAGGATATGGGAGAGCCATCGCTTTTACTCAGGTCCAATCCTTTCTAAAAACCAAGAACACTGATGCGTTTCTTACGCAAACTCTTAAGAGGACAAGGACCTTGTCCCATGACTCGAGGACCCTGACCTTTCCCACATGGAAACCCTGGGTAAGTACAACTTCGGTAAGCAAAGGAGATGTCTGAGGCTGCCTTCATTTTTCATTGACCAACTTAAAAAGGTCTGAGAACTTCAAACTCTTACCAATAACATGTGAGTCCCCGACTGTCGAAGGACCCGCGCGGCTCTGGCAATGTGTTCTATGGCCTCCTTGAAGAACACCATGGAGTGAGAAATCTGGCAAAGAAACGGGCACACAGCTGAGGGCAGGCACAGGGAAGTGTTCAATACGGGGTGTTGTTTGTTTTCAAGATTTTTGTTGTTGCTGGTAACCTTCGCCCAAGTATATCTTCCCATTGATTTTGGGAGAGAGTGGAAGGGAGGGTGAGGGTAAGGGAGTTTGTTAATCCTCACCAGAGGTTACTTTTCCTATTGATTTTTCTTTTTTTAGAGAGAGTGGAAAGGAGGGGGAGAAACAGAGAGAAAAACATCAGTGTGAGAACATCGATGTGTTGGTTGCTTCCTGCACGCACCCCAACCAGGGCCAGGGATGGAGCCTGCAACCGGGCTGTGTGCCCTTGACCGGAGTTGAACCCGGGACCCTTCGGCCCGTGGACTGATGCTCTACCCACTGAGAACACTGGCTAGGCCTCACTCTGGTATGGCCTATGCGGATACAGAAATGGCAATGACTATTCCAGTCACCTAGACCGGTGGTCGGCAAACGGCGGCTCGCGAGCCACATGCAGCTCTTTGGCCCCTGGAGTGTGGCTCTTCCACAAAATACTGGCTTCTGCGCATGGGCCACAAAGTTTCAATCGCACTGTCCGTGCGCGCCCGCACTTTGTATTTTGTGGGAGACCCACACTCCAGGGGCCAAAGAGCCGCGTGTGGCTCGCGAGCCGCAGTTTGCCGACCACGGCCCTAGACCAAGTCAACCGGCTTCCCTGCATGGAGATAAGTTTGCACGTGAGGACTGGCCCTCTGCCCACAGTGTGGTTGGTGTGCAAGACTCGGGAGGTCTCAGGCTCCAGGGGAGAGAAGAGAGGACGGCGGCACCCCGGCTGCGTCTCCATTGCTGGGTCCCGGGGTAGGAGGAGGGAGAGCCGTGGGAAACTGGCTCGAGGCGCCTGTGATGTTGCTGGAGTCGCAGTGCGGGCACAGCTCTTCCCACGACAACGGGGACATGGTAGACACAAGTCGCATCCGTTTTGCTGCCCCTTGTTTTCCTCTGGGTCCTGGCCCCGCGCTGCCTTCTGCATCTCTTAACTCCCCAGCGCTCAGCGGTCCGCCCCCTGCAGCTCCCAGCTGTGCACCTCGTAGTTAAGATTTTACCCTCCCAGCCCGACTGGCGCGGGCTCAGTGGCTGAGCGTCGACCTACGAACCAGGAGGTCACGGTTCGATTCCCGGTCAGGGCACAGGCCCGGGTTGTAGGCTCCATCCTCACTGGGGGGCGTGCAGGAGGCAGCTGATCCATGGTTCTCTCTCATCATTGATGTTTCTCTCTCTCTCTTTCCGTTTCCCTCCCTCTCTGACATCAATAAACATATATTTTAAAAAACATAAAATAAAAATAAAAAATAGAAGTTTACCTTTTTATCAAATGAGACCAAATTAGATGAAACAATATAAAACTGTATTCCTAATGGTCTGCTTAATTCTTTTTTTTTATTTTTTTTAAATATATTTTACTGATTTTTTACAGAGAGGAAGGGAGAGAGATAGAGAGTTAGAAACATCGATGAGAGAGAAACATCCATTAGCTGCCTCCTGCACATCTCCTACTGGGGATGTGCCCGCAACCCAGGTACATGCCCTTGACCGGAATCGAACCCGGGACCTTTCAGTCCACAGGCTGATGCTCTATCCACTGAGCCAAACCGGTTTCAGCCCAATGGTCTGCTTTAAAGAATGAGGATAAACATTTTCTCCCTGAACACTCTCTCTTGTGCACACACACACACCCTTAAAGATATTACATTTTATAGTCATACTTGAGGCCCGGTGCATGAAATTCCTGCAAGGGGCTCTGCCCCATAGCCCCGCCCACTGGTTGTTCTGCTGTGCAGCCTAATCCTCATATTAGCTCTTTGTCATACAGGATGTGTGCGTGCACATATGAACGCACACACACACGTGTATGCCATTTCTGCCATGTACGCCTTTACCTCGGAGGTCGAGCGGATCTTGGTCTGGAACTCGCTGAGCACCCTGGCCAGCTTGTTGTAGTCATTGGTGTTCTGGTACATCCTCTTCTTAAGAGACTTGTTGATCCGCAGGAAATCCACAAAGACGGTGGAGTCGCTCATCATGGATTCTTTGGTCCACTGGATCTGTGGGGAGGTGATCATGCGATAGCACCTGTTACCGGCCCATGTCTACCCATCAAAATCAACACCAAGCGCCGGCATCCCCAAAGCTTGACACGTCAGGCCTAGGCCCCAGGAGGGGTTCACTTATTCTGTGCCCTGGACCCATTTTGGCAGTGACACCAGAGGTTCCTCAGAATAATATTCTGAAATACACACAGCAAGATACAACGGCCACACAGGAAGCTAAACACGTTGGGGGACAGTTTTATCGAAGGGCTCTTTGAGGATCCTCGGGTTCCACGTTTCAGAACCCCGGCTGTGGAAATGCCCTGGTTTTTGTTAAGCCTCACCCGAGGATATTTTTCCATTGATTTTTAGATTTCGGGAGAAAAGAGAGGGAAAGACAGAGAGAAATATCAACTTAAGAGAAATACATTAATCGGTTGCCCTCCAAGGTGGGGGGATCGAGCCTTTAATCAAGGTACGTAACCTTGACCAGAATTGAACCTGGGACCCTTCAGACCGACACTCTATCCACTGAGCCAGAGCGACGAGGGTGGAAATACCATTCTGAGGTCTCACCAACAACCCAAAAGGAAAATCTCCCCTTGCTAATGACCTCTACAGCCCTGCAAGCTGCCACACTGGCTTCCGGGGCCCACGGTGAAGTCTTGCCTACCCTTTAGGCCAAGGTCATGGGCTCCCTTCTCTTTCAAGTCTGCTTCCCTCCCCCTAAAGCCGGGTAGAGAGGAGCCGTGTTTCCTCCCTGCCCCGGCACCGTGACGTGGGCGGAGGCCTGTCAGGCACCAGGGGGCCCCACGGCTCCAGGCAGGCCTCAGCACCCACCGGGCTTGGCGTTTGCACTGGAAATTCCTAACGGGTGCGTGGGAGACGTGTGTTTGGCAAGTGGCTGAAGGAAGGCTGAGGGGCAGGACGGCGTGATGGTTAAGAGTATCTGGAGTCAGATATCCCGGGTTCGAATCATGAGGCTACCACTTAACTAGCTGTGTGACCTGGCTGTGTTCTGACCCTCACTCTGCCTCAGTTTCTTTACTTGTGAAAGGGGACAATAACAGGACCTATGCTACAGGGATGCTACGGAGATCAACATGAGTAATAATATGTACAGTTTTCCCTAAAATATGTTTTTACTGATTTCAGAGAGGGAAGGAGAGAGAGAAACATCAATGATGAGAGAGAATCATTGACTGGCTGCCTCCTGCACTCCCGGATCGAGCCTACAGCCTGGGCATGTGCCCTTGACTGGAATCGAACCCGGGACCCCTCAGTCCGCAGGCCGGCGCTCTATCCACTGAGCCAGACTGCCTAGGGCTATGGGACGTTTTTAAAGGCCCGGCACAGGGCGTTAGCTGTTCGAGTTATCGCATGTAACAGACTGCCTAACATTTCTGTCATGAATGTCACAGATGTGTCTGTGCACTTAACAGAAACGCGTCTGCCCGGGATCCCGTGGAAAAGGTGCGTGAGAGGCGCGTTTACCTGGAAGTAGCTCTCCAGCTCCTTCGAGAGAAACTGGTAGAAGAGCTGCTTCTCCGCCTGCTCGACCAGGCGATCGTGAAACACCCGGGCGGCCTCGTGGACGAAGAACAGGGCGGCCATCTCCTTGGAGTCAATGATGGCCCTGTCAGCCTGCAGCAGCCCCAGGAGCAGCTGGCGGGGTGGGAAAACAACACCCCGTTAGCCACCCGCTGGGAGGAGGTGGCCACACATGCTGCACGCCTCGCACGGGGGGCCGGGCCCTCGACCCGGGCACGTGCCCTTGACCGGAATCGAACCTGGGACCCTTCGGTCCGGAGGCCGACGCTCTATCCACTGAGCCACACCTTGCCATTTCTTTCCCTGCTGAGAACCGTAGCCAATATTCTAACAGCCTCACGTGGTTTTATCATTGCGTTCTCGGCCTGGAATTATTTTAATGATTCGTTGTAACTGGTTCATGCAGAAGCTGCTAATACACAGCAAAACCAACCAATCTGAACTTCCCTTTTTGCCCCTTTTAACAATTTAATATTGAAAATATCAATGAGGGGGAGGGAAGGAGAGAGGGAGAGAGGAAGAGAGGGAAGGGGTAGAGAGAGAGGGGAGAGAGTGAGAGACAGAGAGTCAACTCAGTAAAATGACATTTCCCCCATCTTAAACATTAAGAGCAGTGGTTCTTAACCTTCCACATGCCGCGACCCTTTCATACAGCTCCTCATGTTGTGGTGACCCCCAATTTCACTGTTACAAATTGAACATAATGAAAGCATAGTGATTCATCACAAACACAATATGTAATTATAGATGTGTTTTCCGATGGTCTTAGGCGCCCCCTGGGAAAGGGTCGTTCGACCCCCAGAAGGGTCGCGACCCACAGGTTGAGAACCGCTGATGAAGAGTGAGCTAGAGAATGCGTTTTAAGACAAACCTTAAATATATCCCGGAGATTAAACAGGTAGTGGCACTTCGTTGGTGTCGTTAGCATATTCTGACAGACTTGATAGTATATAGCGAGAGAACACGATATTATGTGGTCCTTGCTTTTCTGCACATCAGGGGTGAAGTTATGGATGGAGAAATACATTCCCAAATGGACCTACGGGAAGAAATGAGTAACTCAGGTGGCTGAAAATCGTAAGCGCAGACTATTTCCAGCCAATTGCTGCTGCAGGAGGAGATGCGTGCGCTGCGACCAGAGGGTTCATTTCATATGCATCCACATTCCCTGGCTGATCTCTTCCCTCCCCCAGCCCACCCCGCCTTCCCTCTGAGATTCCACGGCGTGAAGCCATTTTTCTAATACGATATTTCAGAATTTTCTCTCTCCTTACTTTTTGATCCTCTAAGAAAATAGAAAGAATAACTCGACACTAGCAAAAAGGGGTTGTGCTTGTTAACCCGGCTTCCTGAGCCCCAGCCCAGAGCCAGTCAGAGATTCTGACCACAAAGTCTTGGAATCTACACCGTAGACATCCATGAGCAAGCGCCAACGTGTTGCTTACACACCCTGAACTATGTCTTTGAAATGGAGAGGTGAATTATAAGAGGCCGGAAGATGGAGGGGGAGAAATAAAATTTGTCCCCTTCAGAGAAGGTTCGTTCACATTAGGGATCTGAGGTTTCAGGGTTCCCCTCGCAGCAGGAAATGTACTGTTTTCCCCCCGCGGACACGAGGCAGGTGTGGTACCTGGAAAATAGTCCGCAGGGCGCTCTGTGGGGGATGAGGCAACACGAGGACGGAGAAGTGTTTGAGGAGGCGTGGGCTGATGTGTCCCCTTCCCACGGGAGGCATGCAAGCTGCCACGAGGGAGAGATCTTGAATATTCTGTGGGAAGAGGGAAAGGGGAGGAGGAATGCAATGGGTCCGTGGACAGTGAAATGGGGTCCCATGTCCCTGAAACGAACCAGAGATTTAAAACGTTTAAGCAAAAGACGACCGAGGCGATTGTCTGCTGTCAGACAACAGGTGCGACGGTCACGGAAATCCATCCTCCTGGCAGGAGCCCATCCTAACATGTAAGATGTGACTTCCAGGAAGCTATCTACACGTCGCCCGGAAATGGCCAATTTTTTAAAAAAACAGCCGAGGGAAAATGAGCAGGTGCAATGGAGGCAGGCTGAACGGATCCCGGGGAGGTGAGAATTCAGGGGGAGAGCACACTGAGTGTGTCTCCAGAAAAGCCAGGATGGGCCTGGGGGGAGAAGATGCCGGCTGTGTACATATTTTTAAAAATAGCTATTTTTTAAAACTATATATCTTTTATTGAATTTTTACAGAGAGGAAGGGAGAGGGATAGAGAGTTAGAAACATCGATGAGAGAGCAACATCGATCAGCTGCCTTCTGCACCCACCCCACCCCGCCCCACTGGGGATACACCCACAACCAAGGTACATGCCCTTGATCGGCATCGAACCTGGGACCCTTCAGTCTGCAGGCCGACACTCTATCCACTGAGCCAAACTGGCCAGGGCCCTTTTTAAAAAAATATATATTTTTATTGATTTCAGAAGGAAGGGAGAGGGAGAGAGAGAAACATCAATGAGAGAGAATCACTGATCGGCTGCCTCCCGCATACTCCACACACCCTCCACCAGGGATCAAGCCCACAACCCAGCCATGTGCCCCTGACCGGAATCGAACCTGGGACCCTTCAGTCTGCAGGCTGATGCTCTATCCACTGAGCCAAACAGGCTAGGGCTGATCTGTGTCCATGAAAATAAAGATGAGAGCAGTCTGACAAAGGGATTAGCTTTTCTCAGATGCATTAACTGCTGATGAACTATTCACATGCCTAACAACAGTGAGTATCATCTGACTCGGAAACCAGACCTATGGGACATACTTGTGACTTTTACTAGGATCTAATCCTACCAAAAGGGGCATTTCTAGGACCCCACGGCCCGGCGCTAAATCCCAGAGATGTCACTGGCATGGCTAATTTTCTTGCTGTGCATGTCCATGTCACCAGATTTTCGAAATTGCTCACTGAATTCACTTAACATTATTATAAATACCTAATTTATTGTTAAGTAACAATCAAAGGAATTTGAGAGACAAAATAGGCAGGTTTAGGGAGCCTTAGAAATAAAGAAGGTGCATGGGAGAGGATGCACAGATGGGGGCTTGGAGACCCAAAATGCTTATCTTACTTGTACAGAGGACAGAGAAAGGCCACAGGATTGGGGCGGGGTTGAGGGGGTGGACCTAAGAAGGCATACTTCACAGAGGATAAGAAAAGTCACAGGATATGGGGAAGAAGGAAACATTTTCACAGAGGATAGAGGAATGGTGCAAGAGAAGGAGAAAGGGCGGGGGGGTGGTGGTGGACCATGCAGGCTTTGGTTTTTGGAACTGATACTGTGTAGCAAAACGACCAATGAGGAAAGCAGGGGGGCCCTAAATTGAGAAGGATCCAATTAGAAAGGGTCAGGGTCAAACGAGGAACTGCAGGATATATAAGCTGGAGCCCAAGGGACACGAGACAGATTTTTTAGATTATAGATTTTCAGATTTTAGATTTTCGGATTTAGATTCTTTTCTTCTGAGAGAGAGAGAGAGAGAGAGAGAGAGAAAGAGAGAGAGAGAGAGAGAACGCGCGCGCAGGCTTTTCCCACTTGGCGGCCCCTCCCCAGGGGGGTCCCCTTTGGGGACTCCCCTGCCCAGATGGAGTTTGTATATGCTTCCACTAAACTTCTACATTCTTATTAAAGAAACCTGTTAGCCCACGAATTTATTCTTCATCTTTGTCGGACAAGGACCCACGAGAAGAAGTCTGCTCCCCGAGCCCCGCGTTTCAACAACATTAAACGTGAACTTTACCTTCCACGCAATTTTTTCAGTATCAAAAACTCCTCCCAAGTCCAGTAACTGCCTGATCAGTTCCAGGGGTGGCTGTGCTCCGTACTTATCTTCTTCCGGCATGTTCAGGTCGTCAATGAATACTACAATCTGAAGGAAGGCACAGATTTAAAATGCATGAATTAGTATTCCTTTTCTTTAAAGTGTGAATTAGGGATAGTAATTATGCGATGGCTTGAGTACAAGATCACCAGGAGTAATGACACATCTTTTTCTACTAAAAAGCAGCCGACCAAATTCTATTCTGACATGGCTTTCAAAAACAATGCTTTCAAAACAGCAGAAACTCCACTCCCTTCCTACAGACCTCCACGGACAGCAGCTAGAAATGCAGTTGACCCTGGATAAAGTCATCCATTTGTGGCTTTTACCAAGGAACACACGTGATTATTATTCACTTTGCATTCACTCATTGAGTTGGTGGGGCTGTGTTAGGTGTGCAGGTATTTATTTCCTACTAGAGGCCCAGTGCACAAGATTTGTGCACTGGAGGGTGGGGGTGGGGGGACCCTCAGCCCAGCCTGCGCCCTCTCGCAGTCCAGGAGCCCCTGGGGGATGTCCGACTGACAGCTTAGGCCCGCTCCCCAGACATCCTTAGCACTGCTGCCTGCACCGCTGCCCTCGCCAGTCGCGAGCCTGGCTCCTGCATTGAGCGTCTGCCCCCTGGTGGTCAGTGTGCATCATAGTGACCAGTCATTCTGCAGTTCGGTCAATTTGCATATTACCCTTTTATTATCTAAGAAGATGGGCCTTGGTTTGGGAATGACACTGCCACGTGGAACTAGACTTTTACAATTCTGCTGCAAATGCTGCTGCAGAGAATTCAGACGCATTTCCAGTTTTCAAGCACGTTATTTTTTACGTTAATAATGTGCCAGGTAGACAGGGGAAGACTAAGGAATGCCCACACTATTTCTAGGAAGCATGAGTTGTCCGAGTTATAACAAGGCTGCTCTTTCAACATGGTGGATGCCATCAGTTTCTCTTTTTCTTTCTTTTTTAAAAAATATATTTTTATTGATTTCAGAGAGGATGGGAGAGGGAGAGGGAAGAAGGGAGAGGAAGAGAAAGAGAGAGAGAGAGAAATATCAATGAGAATGAAACATGGATCGGCTGCCTCCTGCACACCCCCTACTGGGGATCATTCCAGCAACCCGGGCATGTGTCCTTGAGTGGAATCGAAGCTGGGACCCTTTAATCTGCAGGCCAAATTTCCATTATGTATATACTAGAGGCCCTGTGCATGAAATTCATACACTGGGAGGGGGGTCCCTTAGCCCGGCCTGTGCCCTCTCGCAGTCCGGGATGCCTCAGGGGATGTCCGCCGGAGGTCAGATATCCCTCTAGCGGTCTGGGACCCCTCGCTCCTTAATGCCCTCCTGCAGCGGAGGTGGGAGAGGCTCCTGGCCCCGCCCCCTGCTGGCCTGATTGCCCCTAACTGTGCCCCTGCCAGCCTGATCATCCCTAACTGCCTCCGCCTGCCTGCCTGATCGCCCCTAACCGCTCACCTGCCTGCCTGCCTGATCGCCCCTAATCACCTCTGCCTTGGCCCCTGCAGTGGCAGCTTCGTCCGGAAGGACATCCGGGAGGTCGTTCGGCTGTCCGGTCTAATTAGCATATTATGCTTTTATTAGTATAGATTTTTTTAAATCAATTTCAGAGAGGAAGGGAGAGGGAGAGGGAGAGAGAGATAGAAACATCCATGATGAGAGAGAATCATGGACCGGCTGCCTCCTGCACAGCCCCTACTGGGGATGGAGCCCGCAACCCGGACACGTGCCCTTGACCGGAATCGAACCCGGGACCCTTCAGTCCGCAGGCCGACGCGCTATCCACTGAGCCAAGCCGGCTAGGGCCCAAATTTCCATTTTAAAAGCGTTTTTACAGTAATGGTCAGAAGTGTATGTTACCCGTGTGCTGTCTGTTTATCAGTATGGATTAAAACAACCCGGGAGAAGTGTCAGCGGGCGCATCAGCACACGGGGGGTGCTTTACCCTGTTGTTCCTCGGGGCCCCGAGCGTGTCCTTATTTATCCTCCTCAGCTTCTTCAGGATCATCTCCTTGGTCTTGGCAGCGGTCATCTTGATGCCAAAATTGATGGTCGAGGTTATAACTCCTTTGTGATGATCTTTAAAGGAGCCGTCTTCAAGTTTTCCCGACTTCTTAGGAGTCTTATCTACGATGCCAAACACAGAACGGAAAGCGAATTTAGAACAGTTTTAAAAAAAAATACAGAAATGGCAACGTTTTGCTATTCTGTTGGCGGTTTAAAGAAATGGCTCTGCGGACAGATCAGCGAGAGAAGACATGTCGACTTGGAGGTGTTTTCCAAACATTCCCTTACTTTTACGGGGGAAACTGTCTCTTTCCAACCACAGCCCGAGGTGAAGGTACGAACGCTCAGGGAACCCTCTCTTCGTTGGTGCACAACAGACACATGGAACTTTTAATGCCTTCAAACTGGTTCGATTTGCAATAGACACTTTTACAAATGAAACTACACGTGCCAGAGATGAAGGAAGCATTTGCTGTACCCACCAAATGCACCAGAATCAGAACTCGTTCTCTGAAGGGCTATGGAGATGGGGCTGTAGCAAAAGAAAAAGAAAAAGAAAACCCCTGCCCGGCCGGCGTGGCTCAGGGGTTGAGCATCGGCCTAGGAACCAGGAGGTCAGGGTTCGATCCCCGGTCAGGGCACATGCCCGGGTGGCAGGTTCAGTCCCCAGTGTGGGGCGTGCAGGAGGTAAGCGACCACTGATTCTCTTTCGTCATTGATGTTTCTCTCTCTCTCCCTTCCTCTCTCTGAAATCAATAAAAGCATATTTTAAAAACAACCACAACAAATAAAACCCGAAGCCAAACGACTCCTGTGGTGGGATCAGTGGCCAGGCTCCCTCTCCCCTTCCACAGGGGGTCTGGGCCACCCCACCCTCCCCTCTGCACAAGTGGCGTTGCTGCTGCCGGACAACACAGTCAGGATTTTCAGGACGAGGTTCCTGAAGCGCCAGGCGTGTTTCTGTCGGACAGTCTGATGGGCGAACTCCTGCACCATGACCGTCCCATGGCCGTGTCTATCCGGCACTCCAGAACACAACAGGCAGGTGTTGCCTTGGTTCCTTCCAGACGGAGTCTGAGGTCCCACTAATGAGCCAGAGCACCCATCCTCCTGGCAAGCACACACCACACTCCCTGAAGAGAAGCATCCCGGCTCTAGAGCCGGACAGAACAGCTGGAGGGGGTAGGACAGCTGGAGGGGGTAGGACAGCTGGGAGGGGAGGGAAGCTGGGCGGGGGAGGACAGCTGGGATGTAGGACAGCTAGGAGGGGGTAGGACTTTGGGGAGGGTAGTGGACATCTTTGCGGACGTTTTAAATGATCATTTGAACTTTTCATTCTGAGATTTCTGACAGCACAGAACGACTTGAGTGTCACCGAGAGAGGAAGGGTGTGAAGCTCCTGGAAACACACACCTTGACTTCCAGCTGACGTCCTTTGGGACTCGGAAAGCAAGGCGCTGATGTTCTGCCTCAGGCTGGCGGGAGAAGACACTGTAAGGTTCCGGATGAGCTCATTTACCTTAGCAGCCTAGTCTTGCACGAATTTTGTGCATCGGGCCTCTAGCTTTTATATATTTGATAAGAAGGAAATATATTTCTAGTGCAAACAAAACCAAGTATATGCAACACTGTATTTGTATATTTAGGTACATTTTTCTAAGAAGGAAAATAGTTTATAGCTTCACTTCGTTAGGTCAAAGAACTACAATTTTAAGTTTAGTTATATTAAAAACAAATGTCAGAATTTCTCACTTAAAGGAAATTAATTTAGTTAATACTATGGAAAAGTGAAGCTTTTCTTAACTCCTTTTTTTTAATATTTCTGCATTTTTACATAACACATTTGCTTTTTAAAACAAGGCATAGTTAGATATTAAAGCAAACTTTTTTTTTTAACCAGACAAATCAAATGTGGAGTTTAAGGAATATACTACCTTAACTTTTTAATTTCGTTATATAAAAGGACTTCTCCTAAAATTGACCCATATTTCACATCGAATCCTCCTGAGCCCTCCAACTTTGCAAGCATCTGTTTAATGGCACTGGTTTTCCCAATACCAAAGTCTCCTAACGGGGAGAAAAAAAAGAAAAGGATACATTAGGTTAGATTTACATGCAAGAAAACGAACAGACACTAACATATTAAAATAAACTAATAACCTTTTCTTTGATTTGAAAAATGCATGAAAAGTATGTTTTTGCTCTTCCCTTTAAAAAATAAAGTTATGGTGGAGGATGGATAAACCAAGCAGTTCCTATGAAACCCTCTCCAAGAATTTCTTTAATTTATATCTCTTATGAAAGAATGTATCAGGAATTAACCATTATTTTTCTAGAATATGCATTTGCACTTGTCACAAATATTTTTGCACGACTACTACAGGCAATTAATTTCCCTGAATCTTTTTACAACACAACCTGGGGGAGAATTGGAATAACCCCCTCCTTGCAGCAGCCTGGTAAGCCATGGCTATCGTACAATTCACCGAAGAGTAAAACCATTTCCTTAATCCACCCTGGACGCCACGGACGGTTATCTGAGCTTCCACACCCGTTAGCCGAATCCTTTGAGGACAGAACTGGGAAGGTGATTTTGTTGCCTCTGGTGAAAGACAACAGAACTTGGGAGAGTTGGAAAAGGTGGCTGAATGGGTTGAAGTAAATATTAAACCAAGGCAGGAGCTGCACTGAGTCAGTCCTTTGAAATCTGAGCGCTGGCTTGAGGAAGTACGTTTGCAACGTTTTTGGAAATCGGGCAATTTTGTTTTCCACGTTTCTTCGCGTGCAGGTATGCGTGCAGATTTAATGGAACCAGCCAGCCTTACTACCGTCAGTGGTCCTCGAAGGACCTGAGCCCACAGGCACTCAGCCCACAGTTCTCCTGGGACTTGTCAGGAAGGCGATGGGAAGGTGAGAGAGACTTAGGATGCCCTGGACTGGCAAACGTGGGGAGGTGTGATTCGGACACTGTAGGTGGGGATAGCTAAAGCTTCTTAGGGTGTGCCCCCCGCCGCCCCCCGACTTATAAAACGGGTGGACAATAATCGCTAAGCCTCTCCCTGACTCTGAACTTCTGCTGCGGCTGCTATTTCTTCACACCTGTGAGAAGGACAGGGAAGAAGCTCTTCAGGAGGAGGCTGATGAGGAAGGACAGGCAGGTGGTTTCCCGGGTGGGGGTGTGGTTCACGGTCTCCCCGTATTCCGTGATCTTCAGGATGCTTTCCCCGGAGCCTTGCGGATCTGCTAGGATTGAGGTTCCTAAGGTAACATTTAAAAAGAAAGTTTCAGATCATCTATAATAATAAAAGGGCAATATGCTAATGAGACCAGACGTCTTCCGGACATCCTTCCTGATGAAGCCAGCCCGAGGGAAGCCAGCCCAGGTCCTGGGTGCCTGCTGGCGGCCGGAGGAGGGAAGCAGCCCGGGTCCCGGAGGGAAGCCGGTGCCGGCAGCTGGGCGAAGGAAGGCCTACTCTTGCACGGATTTTCGTGCATTGGGCCTCTAGTCTGTCAATAAATGTTAACTTCATCTTTTAGGGGCTAAATATTTTCTGGAAAAGTGGGTACGTTATAGAGCCATTGAAACATACACACGTGAGACAGAGCTGTTGCAGGGACTGAGGGTCCCTGCTGATTTCAGAGGTCTTCCCTTTCATTTGGACTCTGCACAGGTGAGCGCCCTGCATGCCTGCTAAGCCCACCAGGTGCAGACAGACCCTCCTGCCACCCCGCCTACTAATCTGCTCTCCCCTGGGAGGCAAGGGTCCTCTCCCCCTTCCCTCCACGGAATCGAAGAGAGCGGCTCTCCTGCCGAAGGCTCCTCCCATCCTTTCTAAAGGTACTTCAGTGAAGGCCTGGGGTGAGGGGGTGACAAACGGGACATCTGTAATACTTTCAACAATAAATTAAGAACCGGCAAGCAAAAAACCAACAACGGAAAAAGAACTTCACTTCTTTGATAACTAGAGGCCCGACGCACAAAATTCATGCAAGAATAGGCCTTCCTTCCCCGGGCTGCTGGCACCGGCTTCCCTCTGCACCTGGGACCCGGACTTCCCTTGCAGCCCCAGCTTCGTCCGGAAGGTCATTTGGAAGAATGTCCAGTCTAATTAGCATAATACGCTTTTATTATTATAGATCCTTCTCCCTGCCACTATCTGCTTTTCATTGTATTGGAATTTTCCATTGGACAAACACACGTGTGCTAGTATCTCCAATCTTTTTATTGGTTGAACCATGTAAATTAACATTTTGGTTCGTAAAAACCAGGTGAATATAGGCAATTCTATATGAATTAAAGCAGCCCCCCCAAAAACCTAAACCAAATCTTCCTTATCCCCACGGCTCCCTAATTCCACCGCAATTCTTTCCTCCATTACGCAGCCAGAACTCTCAAAAGGGATAAATATAACAGAGCCTCACTTCATCTTTTATTCACTCTTTTTCAAATTAAAAATTGAATAGCTAAAACGTTGACCTGGTACACAGTTCACCAGTATGGGAAGGTATGCACTGCACGGTTACCTATCCTAGTCATCCCTATATCCTAGTCACCTATTTCCCACACTCTCGAAAAGACCAACGCTTTCCCACTGGAGTGGTACCCTACAATACTGAGTTATGTGTGTCAATACCCAGTTATGTTTTTTCTATGCAGTAGTAAAAACTAAGATCAAAATGACTCAATGTTAGCACTAACATGTGATAAACAATCCACAGGTTTTATTTTTCAAAATATATTTTATTGATTTTTTTACAGAGAAGGAGAGGGATAGAGAGTTAGAAACATCGATGAGAGAGAAACATCGATCAGCTGCCTCCTGCACACCCCCTACTGGGGATGTGCCCGTAACCAAGGTACATGCCCTTGACCGGAATCGAACCTGGGACCCTTCAGTCCGCAGGCCGACGCTCTATCCATTGAGCCAAACCGGTTAGGGCAAACCATAGGTGTTAAATAAATATGATCAAACACTAATACTGGGACAAATATTGTATAATAGAACGCTGCTGTTTCCAACCGAAATGAATTTGGAGTGAGAACTTTCTGGATGATTTATGACTTGCTAGCTCTGGTTGTTTTCTCTAAAAATAACCACACTATGAAATTCTTTGATGAGTGAAACCTAATCTCAAGGCAAATCGATGCAATCTGCATACTGAATTCTTTGTATTTGCATAATGAAGTCCTTGTATTTGCATAATGAATTCCTTGTATTTGCATACTGAATTCCTTGTATTTGGAAGAAATCAACATGAAGCTTCATCATTAAATTCCTGCCTCAACCTTCAACCAAGCTCTCAAAATACCACAGCTCGCCGAAACCGGTTTGGCTCAGCGGATAGAGCGTCGGCCTGTGGACTGAAAGGTCCCAGGTTCGATTCCGGTCAAGGGCATGTGCCTTGGTTGTGGGCACATCCCCAGTGGGGAGTGTGCAGGAGGCAGCTGGTTGATGTTTCTCTCTCATCGATGTTTCTAACTCTCTATCTCTCTCCTTTCCTCTCTGTAAAAACTCAATAAAACATATTAAAAAAAAATACCACAGCTTTCTATGTATTTTTTTTTCTTACGTTTGTAGAAGGTTGAGAACAAAAACAATATAGCATATATGGATATCTGTCACACTATGATTATTCTGTTCTAATTTAAAGTTTCCTTTACAATCAGTTGCAGTATGTACATATGTTTTTCCTGTTTTCTCTTTTCAATAATCCCAGCTATGTAAAATATTTCCACTAGTAAGACTTTCCATGAGCTAGTTTTACAATGTACAACCATCTTAAGCAAATACATTCCAACTTTCTCCGAAACCAATAGTCAAAGATGTTTTTTTAAAAATATATATTTTATTGACTTTTTACAGAGGGAAGGGAGAGGGACAGAAAGCTAGAAACATGCTAGGGCCAAAGATGTTTTTTAATAAAAGGCATGTTTTGTAAACATAGAGGGTGGAGCAAATGTAGGTGTACAACTGTGAGTACACGAAGCACAATTTATTCTTGTATTATTCATTACTTATTGGTTTCTGCACAAACTTGGAATCCATCAGGCCTCCAAGTTGCTGACATAACTACTTTTATATATGAAGTATTCCTGATATTTTAGAGAAATCAGAGCACAGTCCCAGCAATGACTTACCTCTTTGAATTAGAGTCTGGACGCTGGGAAGCAGTTCTGACCAGCGGATGAACTCGCACTGCTGCAGATCCACAAAGTACCCAAAGACAGACGGCTCGCCGGTTGGGAGGGTTATGCCTGCGTTTGAAAATAATAAGTGAAAAATATAAATAAATCCAAGCAACAACGAGGTTCGTTTATATGGAATGTTTCGGGCATGACCTGATCTCTATTTGAAAGATTTGGCTGTGGAGCCAGAACTAAGAAATATTCACCCAGGGTATAGAGCCAAATATGTAGAATTAAGCCCACTTTTTTCTTCTAATCTTTAATTATATAAAAACCAAGTTTTGTTGACTTTTGGTCTCTTTTTTTGTATCCGGAAAGCAAGGGGAATCATGATCTGACATCCTTTGAAATCTTGCCCATAAGTTTTGCTTATTACTAGAGCTGGATATTATCAAATGCCAGTAATGCGCTGGTGATACATGAGAAAATTCTGAGACTCATTTGCAAATGACATTTACTTCACTATTACAAAAGTCACTAATTCTGTTAATAGATTCTGGAAAATACAGAACAAACAAAGCAAATGAATTTAGCCATGGTCTCACCATACAAAGATAACAGTGTTGGCATTTGATATATTCCTCTTAATCATTTATAAAAAATTTTAAAATATATTTTTTTTATTGATTTCAGATACTTTGCTACACATCAGACAGAGTAGTAGGATTTGTGCATTTGGTAATGTTTCTAGCTCTCCCTTTACTTAGCAAATATATTCATGCTCAATATTTGTCTATTTTTTGATACCTTATCTGTCCCAAGTCCCTTTAACCAGTAACAGCTACTTGGGGAGGTTTACTGTTTCTAACGACGAGGGTAGGTTCCACTTACCAGAACTGCTTCAAAAAATACAAATACTAAAGAAATCTAAGGTTTTAAAAATCATTCCAAAAATATTATTAGAAAATCTGAGCCAGCAGTTTTCCAAAAAGAAACATGAAACGATAATAATCTTCTTCTACTGAAGTTCCTGCTACATGATGATGCGTACACATAGATCCGGCCATACAGCTGATGGGCTCCCCCGGTTAAGCTCGGGTTCAAGGCTTTATCTTTTTTTAAAAAAATATATTATTTTTTATTGATTTCAGAGAGGAAGGGAAAGGGATAGAAACATCAGTGATGAGAGAGAATCATTGATCGGCTGCTTCCTGCATGCCCCCTTACTGGGGATGGAGCCCTCAACCCGGGCATGTGGCCTTGACTGGAATCAAACCCGGGGCCCTTTAGTCCACAGGCTGATGCTCTATCCACTGAGCCAAACCAGCCAGGGATCAAGGCTTTATCTTTATCTTTGTTCTGCCTTACATTGAGTTAGAGCTTCTTATTTTTTTTTAAATATATTTTATTGATGTTTTACAGAGAGGAAGGGAGAGAGAAAGTTAGAAACATCGATGAGAGAGAAACATCGATCAGCTGCCTCCTGCACACTCCCTACTGGGAATGTGCCTGCAACCAAGGTACATGCCCTTGACTGGAATCGAACCTGGGACCCTTCAGTCCACAGGCCGACGCTCTATCCACTGAGCCAAACTGGTTAGGTTGAGTTATAGCTTCTTGTAGCAACAAGAATCAACCAGGAATCGAGTTTTCTCCAGTCTCTTTCGCTGGAGAAAGGGTGTTGGAATGTACTTATTGACCCTCGTTTACCTGTAAGGTCCGTCCACACTTTAAAAGGTGGGCCCAGTCCTAAAGGATTTCAAACGTTTCTTCTAAAGCAGTGGTTCTCAACCTTCCTCATGCCGCGACCCTTGAATACAGTTCCTCATGTTGTGGTGACCCCCAATTCCATTGTTACAAATTGAACATAATTAAAGCATAGTGACTAATCACAAAAACAATATGTCATTATAGATGTGTTTCCCGATGGTCTTAGGTGACCCCTGTGAAAGGGTCGACCCCCAAAGGGGTCGCGACCCACAGGTTGAGAACCGCTGGAAAGGAAGCAGAACTTTGACTTTGCCTTCCCAGAACTCACCTACTTCTGGGCTTTCAAACAATTCGTGAACAAGACGGTCAAAGTCATAGGTTACTTTCGCAAGAGAAGCAGGTTCAAAACTTGAATACATTATTTCATCGTCTTCATGTTCGTCTTCCCGTTTCAAAGTTCCTCCGAATGCCCAAGTGAACGCAAACACGAAGAGCTTTTGGAGCACTGCCGTTAGCTTGTCGGGGTATTTCTCCAGATACCACGGACTCTCGGCCCTGGAGGAGGTCAATGCGGAAGGCGGCGGTTAACCCACGCAGGAGGCACGCAGTCACTTATTTAAAAATCACAGCCAAGTTTCATTATTAAAAATTTCCATAGTTAAGGGCGGACCTAAAGATTTTGTTCGATATTTCTTTAGGTCGTCAGGGCACATGGCTGGGTTGCAGGCTCAGTCCTCAGTGTGGGGCGTGCAGAAGGCAGCCAATCAATGATTCTCTCTCATCACTGATGTTTCTCTCTCTCTCTCTCTCTCTCTCTCTCTCCCCACCCCCCGCCGCTTCCTCTCTGAAATCAATAATAAAAATTTATTTTAAAAAATGCAGGACACAGAAGAACCTAGAAAGTGATCCCGTTAAGGTTTCAAAAAAAAAAACACTAAGTTAAAAAATATATTGTTAGGGAATACATTAGAACACAAAATCCAGAGTAGCAGTTACCTCACATGACGGGGTACCATAAAATCTGGGTACACAGGGGACTTCACAGATAAGTTAATATGTGTTTTTCTGTAACAAAATGGTGTGCATGTGGGTATTTGTGCATGCTACTTCTATCGTACATTTTATAAATGTTCCTTTATGGCTACTTGCTCTTTAATACAAATTAAAGATGATACATGGTTATCATGTTAAGAATAGACTGGAATAATCGGGGAAACGAATTATTCATCATCTATGACAACAGTACAGGCAAGAAATAATGAAGGTCTGGGCTAGAATGCTGGCAAGCAAGATGTACACAAATGAGTGAATGTGAAGGCAGAGGTGACAGGGAGAGTAAAAACCATACGAAGGATGTTCTATCATTTAAAAGCAACTGCGACATGAATGTCTCAGGGGTTCCCAGTGAGACGCAGGAAGGCCTCAAGAGGGACTTTCCTGTCCTACCAATGGCAGAAGAACTGTAGAGTTAATCATTTCGACAGTTGTGATTTACTGAGCACTTACTATGCGCCAGGCACTAAGCTACACATCTAGCACATCG